TACAGTCTTAGACCAGTACAAGAAGTTTGTTCATGAGTGACCTATGTTCACTTATAAAACTTAGATAACATTTAATACATATTTAGGATACATACATAAAGCAACCTGGCACAAAACCATAGGTAGAATTCAGACGAAGCAGTCTATGTGTAAGATATAAGTAAGGCAGTATCTAAAATTTACCTAAAATATAATAACATCTAAAATTACAAAAATTTGATGACATCTAAAATGTAATCATAATATCTAAAATTATATGGAATTTAATAATGTCTAAACTTATATAAAATACATCTGTATAGCAGGAGCTTGCCCTATTAAGGACTAGCAAATCTAAGAGTAAAATGTAGTATGGTCTTTGACCAACATAAGCAAAAATCTACCTAAGGACCTTGTTTTAGCTAGTAGAACACATCTTAAAGTTACCAAATTTGAAAAACACTGCTCTAAATGCTTATCTAAGAAACATAGCCAGGACAATTTAGCAACTCGATTCAGTTAAGAAGAGGAAAAAGAAGGGCAGGTACATCAGTTAAAAAAAAAAAAAAAATCTCCCAAATTGCTCTGTAGGTAAATACAAACTCCTGCCAATTTTCTCTTCTGGTAATTCATGCCTAAAAGGTAGACAAAAGTCAGCCTGCTGAAACAGCTCTGTGCTGTTTTCTATATCCTAGGCAAATATTGAATATGTATTAGGCTTATTTATGTTTTCTCTTCTGTGCTAAGTTTTATTTTCTTTATCTTCTATACAAGTTACAACACTGAGTGACTTCCACCTTCATGCATATCTCAGCCTGTGTTCATGAAGTTACATTTCTTTCTTTAGAAGTTTCTTGGGATTTGTAATATTTTGAACTGTCTTTTTGTCATCTGCACTATTTCAGGCAGAGAGCTGTTCTCTTTTAGCCCCAAGTGTCCAAAATATTGAATTTTCATCTAGATGTTTAAAAAATTAATTTGCAAGCTGCTGTATTCTGGGCAGCTCTGTAATTATCTTCTTTCACACAGAAAATCTGCATTTTAATACTTACAGTTAAAAAACAGGGATACATTTTATCTTTTTGTTGTTGTTGTTGCTTTATAACAACATTTTATTTTATTTCTTACCAGGAAAGATGTGAGGAAAGAAAGCGCTGAATCCTTTAGTCACCACATCTATATGCTACATGGCCAGGAAGTGGCACTGTCTCTATTATTTAATTTTCTGCATTTTGACTTTTAATATTTAGAAAGAAACAGGAACCCTATCTCTTCCAGACACTAGGATTAGGGTGCGGGTACCAGGTGAAATGCCCTCTGGAAGACAAGTGTGGCAGCAAGAAGTCCAAAGCAGGAGGTGGCATCAGGTGTGAAGACCCAGAGAACTTCTGAGAGAGGAGGTTTGGGACCTCCAGCCTTTTACTCTGCAAGTCTTAACATTTGCTATAGAAATGTACAGGTAGTCCTTGCTTAATGACTTCCCTGTTTAGCAACTATTCAAAGTTATGATGGTGCTTAAAAAGTAACTGATCCTTGAACTTACAACTGTTGCAGCATCCCTGGAGTTATGTGATTAGGATTCAGGCACTTCACAATCAGTGGGCATTTATGACTGTCATAGTGTCCCACAGTCACGTGATCATCATTTGTGAGCTTCACAGCCAGCTTCCAACAAGCAGTCAATGGAGAAGCCAGCAGTAAAATTGCAAATCTTGGTCATGTGGTATCTTGCTTAATGACTGCAGTGATTTACTTAATGACCATGGGAAAAAGTGGCATCATAAGTCCAGTGTGGTCATGTGATATCTCACTTAATGACTGTCGCTTAGCAATGGAGTTGCTGGTCCCCATTGTGGTCATTAAGCAAGGACTACCTGTACTTCACAAATCACATTGCATCAAGTGATATCAATTAATTTTGAAGTGTTTGAATGTTATCAAGCAAATTAATCACCAATAAATTTATCTTCAAGATTCTAGCAAAATTAAGAACATCACACTGTAAGTTTGCTCAACTTGCTCAATCCTTGCTCAAGCTCAGAAAACCAACATATCTAAAGCAATCCACTCCTATGATGAAAAAACTAAAACTTAATATGTAGGCAGACAAGAAGTATTCTGGCTTAATCTCCTGGCATGAGAAAGATAATTTTTTCTGTCTCATCCTCCTCTTCGTTCTTTCTACTATCACCACATTTAAAAGTGAAAGTAAATATAACCAACACTATGGTACTCTGGCATCTTCTACTGTGGGGTTATGATGGGTTAACAAAGGTCATTGTTGTTGTCTGTCAGGGGAAACACAGGAGGAGCATCACACGGGAGGAAGCAAGGAATCAACATGAGATTAAAGAAAAGCCAGTTAAGTGTCTGGACAACTATCAGTTCCCTCCACACAAGTTGGAGGGTCCAATTCCTCTTTGTGCTGAGCAGCCTTCTTTTCAACTATACTTAAAGAGATTGTCCTTTTCAGCTGTACTTAAGGAGACTTTGTACACATTTTCTTGCAACCTTTTAGTGTTAGACTATATAGATCATTCTCTTTCATCATTGGCCTCCTGGCTAGAACTGATGGGATTTGGACTTTGAGGGCTCCTGACCGGCTTAATGACGCTGAAAGTTGCTGGCCAGAAATGGTCGACACTTCAGCGGTTCGAGCCCAGCTTCACGCAGCAGAGTGAGCTCCTGCTTCCTCCCCAGCTCCTGTCAACCCAACAGTTTGAAAACTTACCTGAGTAGATAAATGAGTACTCTCACCCTGGTGGGAGGGAAAATGCTGGCGGCACCTTGCAAAAGGAGTCGGGAGCAGTTGCCGGTAGCGCGGAAGCCGCGCTCGCCCCCCCCAAAAAGGCACGAAGCAACGGAAACCCCGCCTCCTGCGCTCACCAGCTGGGCTCTGCTCTAGGAAGGAGGCTCTGGCAAACCACTTCCAAAAACACCTTGCCTTGAAAACTGCAAGGACTCGTCCAAAGCAGTCACCACAGAGTCGGTAACAACTGAGTGCGGATTAAAAAAAAAAAAGAGGTACCACTGCATGTTGCCCACCCTTGACTTAATAATTTCTAATTTCCAAATAAATAAAAACAAAAGATACAACTTATAATAGTGTGGAAGGAGGAGAAAGATGTCTTAATGTCTGAACTGCAAAGCATTCCCTATGGATGGGCAGCCCTGCAATGTTAATAGAATAAAAAATGAAGTATGATTCACTGCCTTCTTTCTATTCACGGAATGTTAATACTTACAATAAAAGACCAAATGTAAAGCAGCTTTAAAAACAGACATAAATGTTTATTTCTTATGCAAACCTTAAGGCATCCTGCAGAAATAGAGCATTGCGTCTGAAATATACACTAATTACTCAGTTTTTCATTAAGCATAAAAAATGTATTTTCCCTTATTCCTACTACAGGGGAACCACCACAGATGTATTCCCTTCCTATTCAGTGTTAGCTGAGCTAGATTCAGCCAAGCCTTCCTGAACCTGCCACAGTGGACTATAACTCCTATCACCCCCACCAGCGTGACTACAGGAGAAGGCCAATAATGATCATATTTTGGAGAAAGGATCATTTTCTTCAAATGGGATAATTATGCTAGGGAAAGTGTTAAACTCTTGGCTAAAGCTGGAGCTACCATTGTTACTGCAAATACAGCTGTTGCTGAGATATAGTCTACTTTTTTCCCCACACCACAGTTGTTAATGGGGGAAAGAAACATCATGAGATAAAATGTCACAAATCTCTTAACTTTTACCTTGAAAAGAATGGCAGGAAAAGCAGTAGAAGTGAAGGGTGGAACATTTGTCAAACGCATCTGGCAGAAAACAACATTAATATCCAGCGTGCCAACATCAGTGGCAATTCTACACAGTCCTGTTGTTTCCTGATGATTGGTGAAAGCTTTTGTTCTGGCAATTATTATTATTGTTGTTCTTGTTGTTTCTTAATTTTGCTGGTCAGGTGATGCCTCACATGGTGAATTCTGAACTGGATATATTTTTAATCTGCTGAGCAGTCTTCATTTTTATAACCTTTTTATAACTCCTTTAATATTGTTTTATTAT